AGCCTAAGGCAGAGAGGCTTTAACCTACTGAGCCACCAAGGCACCCCCCTTTACTGAATTTTTAAATTACAATTATTGTACCCTTCAATTCTAGAATTTCTTTCGGTTTCTTTTTAGGTTTCCATTTTGTCCATTCATCCTTTTTTTTTTTTTTTTTTTTTTTTACTTTCTCCATGTCTTCCTTTAGTTCTTTGAGCATTTTTATTTTATTTATTTATTTGACAGACAGAGATCACAAGTAGGCAGAGAGGCAGGTGGGGGGGTGGGGAAGCAGGCTCCCTGCCGAGCAGAGTCCAATGCAGGGCTTGATCCCAGGACCCTGAGATCATGACCTGAGTCGAAGGCAGAGGTTTAACCCACTGAGCCACCCAGGCACCCCTCCTTGATCATTTCTGAGACAATTTTTTTGTTTTGTTTTGTTAAGGATTTTACTTATTTATTTGACAGAGAGATAGAGAGCACAAGTAGGCAGAGTGGCAGGCAGAGGGAGAGGGAGAAGCAGGCTCTCCATTGAGCAGGGAGCCCAATGTGGGACCCAATCCCAGGACCCTGTGATCATGACCTGAGCTAAAGGCAGACGCTGAACCCACTGAGCCACCCAGGCACCCCTGAGACAGTTGTTTTAAAATATTTGTTTAGTAGGTTCTCCATGTGGTTTTTCACTTCTGTTGATTTATTTTTTTCCTTTGGATGGGCCATACTTTCCTGTTTCTTAATATTAGTTTGTAATTATTATTAGTAGCAGTTCTTTTTTTTTAAGATTTTATTTTTAAGTAATCTCTACACCCAATGTGGGGCTCAAACCTACAACTCTAAGATCAGTAGTCACATACCACTGACTGAGGCAGCCAAGCACCCCTATTATTAGTAGCAGTTCTAAAGTGACCTTACGAATTGCTTCACTTTTTCAAATTTCTGTTTTTTCACATGTCAGGTGGAGATTGTGACATTTTGTCAATTTAATAAATATTTATTGAGCTCCTCCTGTGTGGCCCTCCAATTTTTGATACCCTTTCTAGTGAGATATGAGGTCTTTTTGAGAAGACACTGTCTTTATGGGGCCATGAAAAATGGGGCTCAGAGATTGCTTGACAACTAGCACAGGTCAGAAATGACTCATTCTAAGTACTTGATATTTTGGGATACATTTTATACTTACAATCACATCTCAGTTCAGACTAGCTACATTCCAAATGCTTACTAGCCACATGTGGCTAGTGACTACTATATTGAAGAATACAATCTTGGAATGAAAGATTTGGAAGGCAAACTACTACATCTCTGCCCCTAGTTCATAGAAAGGGAAAGCAAGGCACAGAAGGAGGAAGTGACTTGTCCAGGGGAGTGGACTCTCATGGATTAAATGTTGCCTCCCTCCCCCCAAAAAAGATATGTCCATGTCCTAATTCCCGGAATTTGTGAATGTTATCTTATTTGGAAAAAAGTTTCTTTGCAGATGTAATTAGGTTAAAGATTTTGAGATGAGGAGATCATCCCAGATTATCTGGCTGAGGCCTAAATTCAATGACCTGTACCCTTGTAAGAGATTCACAGAGATGATTAGACAGAAGTTGAGATGAGAGGCACAGAGAGAGAAGTTCATACTAAGATGGGGGTGAAGGTAGGGGTGACGTGACCACAAGCCGGGGAATGCCGTCAGCCACCGGGACTTGGAAGAGGCAAGGAAGGATTCTTCTCTGAAGCCTCCAGAGGGAGTGGGGCCCTGAAGACATCTTGATTTTAGACTTCTGACCTCCAGAATCGTGAAAGAATAAGTTTCTTTTGTTTTTAGCCCACCCGGTTCTTGATAATTGATCATGGTATCCATAGAAAGCTAATATACAACAAGGTTGAATCTTGGACTTAAGAGATCTGAGACCCCATTCCTGGCCCGAGCAACCTGTGTCTCCATTGCCTCTGAAATCTTTCAAGTGGCCAGCATTCATTCCTTTATTAGAAGAGTGGACTGTGTAGGGCTCTGGTGACCTAGAGGGTCCATGACGGATCTCTAGGGAGCTAGAGTCCTTTAGCTCCATGTGGCACCAGGCTGTCTTGTCACCATCTCTTGCCTCATCTACTCAATAATATCAACTGCTTCTCCAGCTTCTACTCTATCCCCTCTTCAGTCTCTTTTCCACGTGGTATCTGGAGTAATCTTAAAAACAAAAACAAACAGAAAAAAAGCAAATAAGTCATCAGGCCACTTCTCCACTGTCCACTGTCCACTAGCCTCCCGTTCACTGGAATGAAATCCAAACTCCTTATGAGTCTACAATGCCCTGCTACCTTATGGATTTTGTCTTGTAGCCTCTGTCTCCCCTCTCTCCACTCCAGTCACAGAGGCCTCCTTGCTACTTCTCCAACATACTGAGCAGTCCTTTCCCAGGTCCTTTGCATTTGCTTGTCTTCTCTGTCTGGAACACTCTACCCTCAGACAGCCCCAGGAACACTCTACCCTCACCCTCTCACTTCATTCTCAGACATCCCTTTATCAGAAAGGATTTCTTTGGCCGCTGTCCCTTTTCATTCCTTTCTTATGCTTTTTTGTTCTTTATGGCATCGATCTCTACACCACCTAGTAAAGATCTGTTAGTTTATTAGGTTATTGTCTGTCTTCCCCATTAGACTGTAAGTTCCATGAAGGCTGGGCCTTCTGTCTGTTTTATCCAACAATGTGTGGAATAGCACGTAGCAGGTGCTCAATAAATTCATTGCTCAGTGAATGAACAAATGCATGAGTGAATGGAGGAAGGTAGGGTCCATGTAACCGTATCTTGTTTCCTAGAGAAGTCAGAATCTGTATATTTAGGTGAAATTCTACCAAATATGAATAAAAAAAAATTGCTTGGCTGGCTAAAAAAAAAAAAACAAAAAACGCCACACACACACACACACACACACACACACACACACATACACAACCCCAACCAAAAACATCCAAGGGCTACCAGTTTGAGACCCCTGCTCTAGGGAACTGGGAGCAATGGGAACTGTGTTCCCTTATCCTCAGATGGGGCAGCCCCTCCCAGAATCCAGTGTTTCTTTGGGATCCACCAGCCCTTGCATCTCCAGGCTCGGCCCCATGAGGTCCTGTTTGTTGTTACAGAGCAAAGTCACCCAGAGCCCTTCATTCAAAAGGCAGGATGTGGGCTGCAAGCCACCAGCTCCTCTGTTCAAAGGAAATCTGCTTCAGCAGCAATGTCTCCCGGGATGTTTTCCCAAGTGTCCCTGGTTGACGAAGGGGCCTCTTAAAGGACTAATAATAGACACGCATGTCCAGTTTCCAAAACATGTCAACCTTAGAAGTGAATGCTATTTTTTCTTCCTTACCTTTGAATTACTGTGGAGCAGAGGGACATTCTATTATCACAGCCATTGCTCTCCACATGCAGCCTAATAATGACTTACCACTTGGTAGCTTCCAGGCGAAATCGTCATGGTGGGACCTGAGCTTCATTAGGCAGAATTTCAATGTAGCTGGTTCACCTCCACCCTGCTCCCCTTCATGCCTTTATCCCCAATATACTTTGCAGTTAGGCTGACCTAACCTCCATTCAACAACAGTATGACTTCGGGTGTATATCTTCATCGCTCTGAGCCTCACTGTCCTTATCCATCAGGAAAATTCGGGACTTACACAGAGGTGTTGTTGCAAGGACTGAGTAGGACGGTGCAAGTACCCAGGACACCTATCTAGCAGTTGATGATTCCTATTACCGCATACCTACAGGACACAGTGAGCGGGAAGAGGCAATGTCCCTGAAGCTTTCATTCACTCACTTATTCACATAATCACTTATTCATTCAACCAATGTTTCCTGAACTTTGAGGAGGGGTCAGGCATGGAGCTTGGCTCTGATGGCAGAATGGTGAGCGGTGCCGGCTTTCAGAACCTAGGTCTAGTGAAGGAGTGCATAGCCTAATGCAGTGCCGTGTTCCCAGAGGAACGCAGTTCCCATGGGTGGGGGTGTGTTGAGACACAGTGCATAGACAGAGCACTAAATCACACTGCAGTATCTACTCATCTAGACAATTACCATTTTTTGGTTACCTTTCCATCTGTCAGATTCCACCCCAGGAGAGCGTCCCCCTCGGATGTTGGTGTGTCTCTAGCATCTCTCGTATATTTGTTAATCTGTCTTTAACAAATAAAAGAAGGCTTCAGATGCAGGTGTTTTGGGCAGGTGGCAGCATCTGGAGAGATTTTACTACTACTGTGGATATCTTTTCCTATTCAAACTCAGAAACCAGACAGACTTTTTTTTTTTCTTTCAGATAGTGCACAAATATGACCAGGATTTGTGAAGATGGGTCCTCATCCTCCCCGTCTTACTGTTGAGGAAAGTGAGTCTCTTTGGGGAGGGGATGGACAGAAGGTAGAGAGTTCAATTCTAAATGGTTGGGCAAGCAAAGCCAAGAATTGCCTCTTTCTCTCTATCGATATATAAAATAAGATTGCTCCTCCCCTACCTCTGCAGTACGTGTGTGCGTATGTGTGTGTAAGTGTGTGGAGCCACAGGCCTTTTAGAATGAGTGACAGCGGGAGCCCATCCCTCCCAGAGACGCGTGCAGAATGACCAATGGAATGGATGCAGGGTGGTTGGGTACCAGTCTCTGCATAGGCCGGGTGGAATCCATCGCGCCCACCCTTGCCACCCCCCCCAACTCCCCCAGTCCCCGTCGGTCCTTCCGCTCCGGGCTCCCCTGGGGGTCACACCCCAGGTTCTCACCCCCTTAATGTAACCCCGGGCCCCAGGAGCGGGTAGGGGGCGAGGCTCAGGTCTGACGATCGCAGGCTGCAGTCCCCGCGCCGCAGCGCTGCGGCTCTGAACACTTCGCTAGGAGGCCGGCAGCCTCGGGGTGCCAATATGTAAAGCAGCTGGCGGTGCTGGGCGGGGCCTGGGGGCGATGCAAATGAAGGAGGCGGGCCCTGTCCGGGGCTCCGCCTCCCTCCCCCGCAGCTGGGGCCAGCGGTGCCAAGCGCAGCTGGACGAGCGGCGGCAGCTGGGCGAGTGACAGCCCCAGCTCCGCGCGCCGCGGCGGCCAGAGCCGGCGCAGGGGAAGCGCCTGCGGCCCCGGGCGGCAGCGGCGGCCGCCTCCTCGCGCGCTTCTCGGGCCCGCACCCCGCGGTCCCGCGGCCCCGGGGCCGACACCTTTCGGCTCCCGCTCCCCGCGCGCAAGATGGCTGACCCGGCTGCGGGGCCGCCGCCGAGCGAGGGCGAGGAGAGCACCGTGCGCTTCGCCCGCAAAGGCGCCCTCCGGCAGAAGAACGTGCACGAGGTGAAGAACCACAAATTCACCGCCCGCTTCTTCAAGCAGCCCACCTTCTGCAGCCACTGCACCGACTTCATCTGGTGAGAGCGCGCCGGCGCAGGGCACCTTTCCGGGGCCCCGAGGGCAGCGCCGCGCGCGGGGCCCCCTCTCTGCGCCCCCGAGGCGGGGGACGAGCACCGTCCGACCCCGCGTCCCCCTACTCCCCGCTCCGGACGCCCGGCTGCACAGTCCTGCGGCTTCCTCCTCCCCGGCCCCAGACGGCCGGCCGCCGGGCGCCTCCTTCCCGCTCTCCTCCCGGCCGCCTCCGGAGCGCCCCGGGGCCGCGGCGCGGGCCGGTTCTCCACCTGCCGGGAGCGTGGGGAGGCTGTGTCCCTTCCCGGGAGGGCAGCGCCGCGAGTGCCCGCTCGCCCGGGGTTCCCCGTCTCCCCGCCTCCTTCCGGGCTCGTGGTGCCCGCATCTCCTCCCCTCCTTTCCGGGGGCAGCGCCCTGGGTGTCCTCTCTATCTCCCTGCGGGCGTGGGGCATCCTTTCCTCCCCTTCCGTGTCTCCCGCCGTGGCGCCCTGGGTTATCTCTTACTGCGCTTCCCTGCGGTCCAGGGTTCCCCTTTGCACTGCTCAGTTTCCCCCTCTCATCACTGCGGGGACTTTTCTCCCCCAGCTCTCACCCCGTCCCTCTAGGCTTGGGGAGCCTTCTCTCTCTTCCCAGCTCCCCGGGAAACACCACCGCCGCAGGGTCTCTCTCATCCTCCCTCTGGTGCGTCTTTAACTCTTTTCTTTTCCCCGAAGGTACTCGGGCATCTCTGTGGGCAGATCTCCCGCCTGCTACCGCCCCCCCCCCCACCAACTCCCCGCGACGGAAACGCTCCCCCCATCCCGCCACCTGGTGGTCGTAGCCTTTTTCCTGCCTTTTGAGGGGAGGTGGAGGTTATAGCCGACCTCCCAGCTGCCCCTTCCCCCAAAGGGCGGAAGACTCTTGGGCACCCGCCTGTGGCTAGGAGGTTGCACCTGGGGTAGAGGGGCCGGGGAAGGGGGGTGATGTGGGGAAACCGGCTGGTGGCTGGGCCCCTCCAGCTCCCTGACATGCCTCTTTCTGTCTTTGCAGGGGCTTCGGGAAGCAAGGATTCCAGTGCCAAGGTAGGCTATGGGGCTCTGGGAATGCCCTTTCTGGGAAGAGATGGTGAAAAAGACTTTCTAGAAGTGACTGAATTAAGCAGAGAGCGAAGGAATCGCATTTGTCAGAGTGACCTGCCAAGCTGGGAGAGCACCACCACACAAAGGCCCTTTGAAGGGGTGTGTGTATATGGGGGTAGTGATGCTCCACAGGGAAAGGTGGGTGGAGCCAGAAGCTCTACCTGCCAAGGAAGGGCATGCACCCTTCCTTCCTTCCCAGCAGCAGGAGAGTCAGATCCCGTCTCCCGAGCCTATCCTGCTTGGCCAGTCTTGCTTCTGGAGGACGTGTGCCCAGGGGCCACTTTCGGGAGGACCCCTCCTCAATTCCTTCTTACTTACCTTTCCTCATCTCACAGAGTAAGGGTCTGCTTCCTCCCCTGCTTCACAGAAGTCTCCACAGGTGGCTGCTGTGTCTGCATAGGGTGCATCCCCTTGAAAGGGGACTGTGGTTGTCCCCTGGGCCGCCTCCCTCTCTTCGAGAGGTCTTTCCAGATGGGGTGCCTCTCAGACACTAGTTTAAATTTGCCCTTTCTAGCTTCTGGCTGCATACAGGAAGGACTCCAAGTGATTGGCTACCTGGGTCCTCACACCTGCTTTGAGATCCTTGACCCCAGCCAGAGAGGTCCAACCTCGTGGTGACTTAATCATGTGTAAGGTGGCCTTTGGCCGGCTCTGGTCGCCACTCTCCAGGGTCAGATTACCTGTGGACTTGTTCAGCCCTTAGGCTGTCAAACATTTTTTGAATTTGATGTCAACATTTAGAACTGGGAGATTTTACACAGATACCTGAATTTCCAGCTTCAAGTTTGCAACCCAATTTTTGGCAAGGTGTGGTTGAGTTTGGTGGAAAATGTCTCATTTCTGGGGTGTGTCGTAGGGGCACATGTGCTGTCCTGGGGAGCTGGGTCTGATCAGGAGAAGAAAGCATTAAGCGTTCAAGAGTCAGAGACGTGACTTAGCTGGGTCTGTTTTGGTGTAACATTCCACCCTCCTGGGAGAAGTCAAATGATCCCTGGTGGGTGTGGGTGGCATTGTCGGCCGCACAGGATGCTTGCTGTGTGGCACTGCTGTCTTCTGAGACTTGTGGCGGGTTCCCTCCCTCACCTGCGATCCAGGGAGGACTTGGCCCAACCAGTGAACCTTGAAGACCAGCCTTTCTTACCCAGATGGGGAGCCCCAGTCTCGTGCTCTGCACCCGAGGACTTGAACCTGAAGGATCATTAGCATACACTGTTACATTAGTTTCAGGTCTGCCCAAATCCCTTGAAAGTGGCAAGAGCTTAGAACCCCGTTGCAAACAGTTGGATTATTCCTAGATACCAGTGGTGTCTTTGTGCTGGAATGTATAGATGATCTCTGAGGTTATCTTTCACTTTCATGAATCAGTTTCTGTCTCTGTCACTTGCTGGGGTCAGGGGTGAATTTGAACATTTTTGCTGCTGCTTTCTTTCCCCCCTGCTCAGCACTTACTCTTGCCTGGGGAAGTCAGGCACTCTGGAATGTGTAGGTGATGGCAGGAGATTCTGTTTTTCAAAGCCTGGAAAGTGTCTCATTTCTGGGGTGGAGTAGGAATTTTCTGGTATAGTGAAAGTGCAGCAGAATTTAAGTTTTTAATCAAATTTAAGCAACTTTAGAGGTAGTACTTTTTTTTTTTTTTTTTTAAATCCCCTTTCTTTGTCTCCTCTCCCTGAGAGGCAGTGTGGGGTAGCGGACATCTGTACAAGCCAGGGGTAGGTCACTGTGGGTTTGATTCCTGGCTTCGTGACTTCCCAGCCATCCTGTTTAGCTCAGATTCCTTGTCCATAAAATGGGCCCAATAATAATACCTACTTAAAAAAGTTGCTGAGTAGGGGCACCTGGATGGCTCAGTCGGTTAAAGGTTTGACTCTTGGTTTCAACTCAGGTCATGATGTCAGGGTGGTGAGATCAAGTCCCAGTGTTGGACTCCATGCTGGGTATGGAGCCTGCTTAAGATTCTCTCTCTTTTCCCTCTAACCCTCCCCTGCCACGTGTACGTGTACTCTCACTGTGCCCAAAATAAATAAATAAATCTTAAAAAAAAAAAGTGCACCTGATTAAAATGGGATCCACATTTCACAGAGAATAGGTAAGGTTATGTTCTCCCACCTACATCAGTGGTCCAGAGCCCAGGGTCTTTGTTCCTTTCAGTTTTCTGCTCCACCATGCAGGAATGACCCTTATCTCATGGTCCAAGAAGGATGCTAGACTATCTGGGCATCACATCACATTTCTGGCAGCGGGAAGGAGGAAGGGGTAAAAGAAAGGCAAAGGCCACATGCTCCCTGTCACTTCTGGAAGTTGCTGCAAGATATTTCTGCCTAGACGCCAGGAGCTACAACTTAATCATACACCTGCACCTTGCTACACAGGGGTGTGTGGACCCCGTAATGTTAATTTCAGGTAACCATGTTCCTGGCTACAAGTTATGGTGCGGGGGGGTGTTCCGTTTGAAGTGGAAGAGGAGGAGCACTTGGGTGGTGAAGTCCATTGATTTCAGCTCGGTCATGATCTCTGGGTCATAGGATCGAGCCCTGCGTTCAGCTTGTGCTCAGTGTGGGGTCTGCTTAAGACTCTCTCTCCCCCTGGCTCTCTGCCCCTCCCCGCTGCACTCGGGCGCACTCTCTCTCAAATAAATCTTACAGAAAAAAAGTTGAAGGGGAGAGGGGATATAGTCTGTGCCATCCTTGGGGAGGAGGTACATAGCATGATTTGAAGGCAGGGAACACATCAAGCCTCCTTTGTGTTGTCATGGAAATTGGGGATGCAAGGATGGGTTGAGGGAGGAAAGATGGGAAGTCTATCAACCATGGGAAACCAGGGATTTCTGTGTGCCTAAGAATAGATTTCCTTGCTTTTGTACTGCTAGAGGACAACATTCTAGATTGACTGCCACAGGATTTCTCTCCTTTTTTACCACTCTATTTTCTATAAAACCACTCTCTGTGAGGTAGTTTAAGACTGTCTCTGATGGGGCACCTGGGTGGCTCAGTCAGTTGAGCATCTGCCTTCCATTCAGGTCATGGTCTTGGGGATCTGGGGAGGAGTCTTGCATTCAGCTCCGTGCTCAATGGGGAGTCTAGTTCTCCTTTTCTCTCCACCCACCCCTGTTTGTCCTGTGTGTGTCTCTCTCTCAAATAAATAAATAAATAAATAAATAAATAAAATCTCAAAAAAAAAAAAAAGTATTTTTTCTGGTGATGGGCACTGGGGTTGAGGATCCCTATTATGAAATTGACTAAATTCTGGATGAGAAGTAGGACCCCTTAGAGAAGCAAGGCAGTCTTTTCTCTATGGCATTCTTTAGAGGACCCTAGAACCTTCCTTTGTGAGTTAGTTGTAATGAAGACAAGCCTTTGGGTGGAATTAGACTTTTTTTTTTTTTTAAAGATTTTATTTATTTATTTGACAGAGAGACACACAGCGAGAGAGGGAGCACAAGCAGGGGGAGTGGAAAAGGGAGAAGCAGGCTTCCTGCTGAGCAGAGAGCCCGATGTGGGGCTCAATCCCAGGACCCTGGGACCATGACCTGAGCTGAAGGCAGACGCTTAACAACTGAGCCACCCAGGCACTCCTGGAATTAGACTCTTACCCCAGGAAACTTTTGCAGTTTGGCAGAGAGAAGAACTTTTTCTTTTAAAGGAAGTCAACTTTAGTAGGAATAGGGAGGCAATAAAATCTAGAGATTCAGAATTCAGAGCATGGGGTCAGAGTCAGATATGACTTGACTATGATTTGAATCTCTACTCTGCCACTTACTTGCCCTGTAAGCTACGGGTAGGTCATCTGCCTGTAGTGGTCTCAGTTTCCTGATCTGTAAAATGGGCGCTAATAGTACCTTACTATCTCATAGGGTTATGGTGAGCACCAAAGTGTGAGAGACATATCTGCAGTCAGTATCTGTGACTCTAAGTGAGATGATCATTATTACTTGGTTCATGGTAGGAAACTGTCAAAGTGGGACAGAGTTCATTTTGGAAGTCGTTGAATGACTAGGCTGCTTTCGTGTATTTAGGTAGGTTTTCCTCTCAGGTGTGTTTCTTCGTAGACTTTGGGTAACACCAGTGTGTGCACTGCTCAGCCTCTGGGCCCAGCCAGCCAGGCTCATTCAGATTGTCTTTTCTCACCCTTTCCTTGTGAGAAAGATCTCAACTTCTCAGGGACACTCTGGGAAAACCCTAGCATACTAGTTTTCTGACTATGAAGACCTAGCAGGGATGATTATAATGAGTAAACCAGCTCTTCCCTTTCCTGTGTAGATCAGAAAAGATGTTTTTTTAACTTTTTAATAGATGTTATTCTTTAATAACCCCAAAATGTTGGGGCACCTGGGTGGCTCAGTTGGTTAAGTATCTGACTCTTCATTTCAACTCAGGTTACGATCTCAGTGTTAGAAAGTCAAGCCGGGCATTGGGCTCTGTGCTGGGCATGGAGCCTGCTTTAGGTTCTCTCCTTCTCCCTCTGTTCCTCCCCACCCACCCTCTCTCTTTCTCCCCTCTCTAAAAATAAAATAAAATAAAATAAAATAAAATAAAATAAAATAAAATAAAAAACGAAAACCACAATCAAAGCTGAATCCAAAGTTAATTTTATTTTTGGCACAGTTTTTCCTGGCAACTTACAATATATTTTCAGGTTGAACTTTCTCACTAAAATCATAAAGAGGCCCTTTCCCCCGCCCTTTTTTTTTTTTTTTTTTTTTTTTTTGTGCAATCACTAAGTCAGGTTGCAAACTCCTGGAGTTTGCTTCTCTGATTTCATTTTCCTCCCTTCCCAGAAGCAGGTCCCAGAGGACTGTGAGTCAAACTCCACTCACCTCTTAGCTTTTTCTGAATGTGTCCTGAGAGTTCTATGTGGATAAAAGGCAAAGGCTTTTTGACTTTGAATTTGATGTTTTGACTTTTATTTTTTCCACCTGAAGTGGGATTTCAGGCCCAAAGTCCCAA